CAGTCTTAAGTTGCTGGGGTATATTTGTAGCAATAGCCAAAAATACATTGTATGGGTCAAAATTATAGATTTTTCTTTTATGCCAAAAATCATTAGGATATTAAGTAAAGATCATGTTCCGTGAAGATATTTTGTAAATTTCCTACCGTAAATATATCAAAACTTAATTTTTGATTAGTAATATGCATTGCTAAGAACTTAATTTGGACAACTTTAAAGGCCATTTCCTCAATATATATATATTTTTTTGCACCCTCAGATTCCAGATTTTCAAATAGTTGTATCTCAGCCAAATATTGTCCGATCCTAAAAAACCATACATCAATGGAAAGCTTCTTTATTCAGCTTTCAGATGATGTATAAATCTCAATTTCGAAAAATTGACCCTTATGACTGGTTTTGTGGTCCAAGGTCACATACAGGGACGGAATATGACACAGCGATGCCCTGGGCACCGACCGATTAAAGGCCCCCTCGGCTGAAATTCCGTTCCTTTTTTATTCGAAATTTTTCCAAACTTGTTAACTATATCATAAAATATCACCATTCTCAAATATAAGTAAATACATTTTGCACCTTTATAGATCATGTTAGTTTATCTATAATGGGCTATGGGAAAAGTAGCCTATTATTAGTGTAATCTTTTAACTAGCCTATGCATAAAACCCGTCTTTTAACTTGTATTAGATATGGGTGTCATGTCATAGAATATTTTTAATATGACTGACTTTGTATTTAAGGTAAATTTAATAAATACTTTGTAAGTTACTAATTATAACACTTTCATTGTACATAAAGAGAGCAAATAATATTTGCATTATCAAAGAATATTAACTTCAGTCTAGAAAGTTCAAGCACTCTCAACAACTCCCATTATAATCACTGAAGCTGTTCATACTGTGAAATGATTATCTTACTTGCATCGTACACACATCTGCACTTTGTTTATAATGAGAGAATTCGCCAGAGAGCAGCATTCACAAAACAAAACACGGGCTTTTCAGCGATGACTCATCTGAATGCCTCTGATTGGCCATTGCATTCATAAGCTCAACAGAAACCTGTGTGATTGGTTATAATGCGCAGCACTGTAAAAACGCGTCTGGCTCAGCGCCAAAGCACAAACACAGATTTTGAATTTGGCAGCTGATGCTGTGTCGCACTGAACGTTCTAATCGTATCAAATATAAAAATATATATTATTCAGCCATTTTTTTGTTGGTCTTTGGAAGCTGCATTCAAAATCCACTTGGCTTTCGGTAGGCCCGTGCCTTAATCCGGCCCTATGGGGTATTTAGGGCTACGGATTTTGTCTGAACCTGTCAGACTGAAATCTGAAGAATTGTGGTCACATGGACCAGAGCTCAGGATACCGTGTGATGTACTGCATTCTGTGGGAGGAGTTTCTTTTATCTGTTTGACATCCACCTTATGAAGGAGCTGTAAGAAGCTACTTTGGTTCATTTGGCTCCCAACATCCCATCATATCAACGACAACAGTCATTCAGAAAGGTATGTGCATTGCAGTGTGTGTTTCCTCTTGTAATTCAGCTGTTACTCATTACTTTTACATTTTCCACATATGTTAATCATTAAATGAATTGGTTAATTCTGTTGGTTTTGTATAATTGCTTGTTTTATGGATCTTTAACAAATAAGTTTAGAATGGTTGCCCCAGTCATTGTATTGATATATACTGGGATTAATATTATTATAAAAATTTTGAAAAATGAATTATTGTTAAAATGCATTATTATTAAATGTATTATTAAAAATGAAATTATTTCAGTCTTTACACTTTAAAAACAATCCCATTTAATTCAATGTGTAACTTGTCGTTTCTTTGTAATCATTTGTGAAATGTACTAGACATTTGAGTGAAAATTGTTTCAAAGTAAATCCTACCATTTTTTTTTTTTCCCTCCAGTTTAGAGTTTATTCAACAATGCAATCTTCACAACGTTTATACATCCACCTCCCAGAAAAAAATATGAAGAATTTCAAAAATCGGGTGAATGGGTGAGCAATGTCAGAAATGATCTTTCCTGTCCTGCAGGAATTGATTTGCAGGGTCATTTTATACAAAATACTTCAATATAATTAATTGTTTCTAATAAATTCATAATTTAAATGGCTGTTAATTATAAACTTAAATCAACAGAAGAAAACTGATCAAATAATCCACAAGATAAAAACATCACAGCTTGAACATGCAAAATGATTGACAGGCAGAAAGAGGCTCAAAGTCATCTGACTGGCTAAACAAAGAAACGGACCACAATCACATTTGTTTTCCAGTTGACAGAAGCTATAGACAGGTGTGATATTTTACGACAGCAAAATCAGTGCTACTCGTCAGGTAATATTATCTGAGTGCCATTCCATAAACGATGGCTTACAGTGCCTTTATTTAACACTGGCTTTCAATCTGTTTTAGGTGCAAGTTTGAGGTTTTTTTTTCCTGTGTAGCTATACATACGACATAAGAGATTTGGAAAATGAATGGATGGAAGTATGTGATTTGATCGATGTCTGCCTTTCTTCATAGAACCATGGGATTGTTGTTACAGATTTGCATCCATTTTTGACACACAGTGAGCTTCACAACTACTTTGACAAATTTGGGACAATTACAGAATGTGTCGTAAGTACTTTTATAATCGAAAACTTTTAACAGGGCAGATATACGTTATATGGAAGTTAAACCTGACTCTAAATCAACTTCTAGTCGGTGGGATGATTTGTGTTGCTTGAGTAAAATAGACCAGGGGGGTATTCCAGAAAGCAGGTTATGTGACATACCCATGTTTAAGGGTAAGTAAACTCAGCTTTCGGTTCCAAAAACGGAGGTAACTCTTAGGGTAAGTATATATCAACTTATTCCCTGAACATAGGTTCAGAGTTAGTTTACTTCAGCACTATCAGCACATGCGTGACCTTATAATATTATGATTACAATATAGTTATCAAATATACTATATACATATATATATATATAGTTGTATGATATGCTGATTATAAAGCACTATTATAAGTAATATATAACGTAATATATTATTCTAATATGTTATTATATTTATTGTCATGTATAATACTTATCGATATATATTAATTATAAAACACTATTAAAACAAGGTAATGTTTATTTTATTCTAATATATTTATTCTATTTTATTGTCATCTCACACATCGTGGATCTGCATTTTCTATAATGTATTTCTATAATAAAAATACATATGTGATATTTCTTATTATATAATTAGCATCAAACAAACAATATAATACGTATGCTCAGTGATTAAACGATTAAATGCAAAAAAAGAAAGAAAAATGATTGCACAACCATCAATTAGATGGCGATATGCACTAAGCATGTAAACGACCATTGAACAAAAGAAGAAGAAAGAAGCAGCATGGCGCGCTTTTTCTTAGCGTTGGTTTCCACAGTGACTCGTCGATTCGTGGCTCTGTTGAGAATGTCTTGTGTGTTAACCGTGAACATACTCTGGGTTGACTGAACTTACTCTCGGATGCGTTTTACTCTCGGAACCAACATACCTCAAGTAAGCCAGGTTTGGGTTAATCAACCGAGAGTTCAGGGTATATGTGACGGTAAGTTAACCTTGCTTTCTGGAATACACCTCAGATGAATTGTCTCACTTGTAAACTTTTCTTTAGCAAACAGTTAAAAATAGTTGAGTTAATGGTGAATAGTTGAGAGGGAGAGGGAGAGGGAGAGAGAGAGAGAGAACACATCTCAGTATGTTGGGTCAAACATTTAACCCAAACAACCTAGCGCAGGGTTTGTCAATTTTTGACCTAGTGCTGGGTTGCCAAAATGACCCAAATTGGGTTGTTTTTAGCTCAACAATTTGTCTGTAGTTTACTTACTTAGATGACCCTTATATTTTTGATGATCTTTACTGTAAACCTTGGCTCCTCTTGTAATTTGTGAACTTTTCTCAATGAACAGTTCACAATCGACAAGTCATCAGGATGGCCAAAGGGTGTGGCCTTTGTGAGATATTCATCTTCAGAGGAGGCTAAAGCAGCAGAAGAAGTTGGGCCACACTGTCTTGGAGGTTTTCACTCATAGATCAACGGAGTTGTTACACCAAAAGTGAGTCAATCTACTGTTTGTAGCAAGAAGGCCTACAATCCCTGCTAAAAAAGACTAGCTTAGACTTCCATGCTGGTCTGGATTGGCTCATGCTGGTTTGGTGCTGCTCATGAAGGTGAACCAGTGTAGCCATGTCCTTCACCAGCAAAAATGGTCCTTCTGATTAATCTGAGGTGCGTTTCCCAAAAGTAACTATGGTCGCACATTCTGTTGTTACCAATAGAGTTCAATGGAACTTGCAACCTCAGTTGGCTAACGGTGCTTGTGGGAAACGCACCCCTGATTGACCAAAGGAAGCTTGCTAGTTAAGATAGACTGAAGGTGTTGTCACATTTACTGTTGCTCTGCGAAATTTTGTGTTCGAAATCCAGTCATTCCAGTGGTTTCGCTCATATTCATGTTGGTCACATGAATTCGCTGTGTTGAGCAAGAAAAACCAGCTTGTTTTGAAAGTGACTTCTGTGTGAGCTGTGCCTTTAACATCTCTACACTATTGAGAAGAGACTGTGGACCAATTTCGCTAATGTGATCGCACCCTAAGAAGGCCTGGTTGGGACACCAGCATCCCATACCAAGGACCAGCATCCAAAATAACTGATAACCAACAAAGCTGGACTTTTCAACTGGATTCCTGTAGAAATATATTCAATAATGTCCATTCATCTCAATATGGCAGTTGCTTGGTTTGGGACTGTTTGAGTTAATTCTTGTGATGCCATTAGCCAGTCAGTGTTGTCATGAAGTCAGGAAAAAGTAGTGACATGGCATTTTAAGTTCAGATGCTTGGCTCAAAACAACTTGGTGGGAGAACTGTACTGCCTGAGCTGTCATGAGCAGATTTCATAGCACGTATTGCCATTGAGATGAATGGGAAAGCTAAAAGATTGTTCTCTCCAGGTACTACAGACCTCATTTTATGGTTTGGAATGGGGCAGCACACCATAAACCCAATCACAACTCTCACTCTCTTTTTTAGATGTCTGTCCAGAACAGATTTGACAGCCAGTTAAATACTCCTCCATGCCAATCCTTTCAAACAGACCTGTGTGTGAACTAAAAGTGGAATATAGGAGCACCGACAGTTGCTGACTGCAGTGATTTACACAAAACCTCATCCTACCACAATGTGAACTAAATGTTTCTGCATGATAAACCAGTGTATATTGTTGCATTTTGTACCTAACATTAAAAACCCTGTTTGATTTAATGTCTGTATGCCCTACTGTAAATGATCACTTTTATATGTATACCTCAAATGTTGAATAAATGTATTCTCAGAGCAACTCTTGTTATGTCTTTTAATGAGATTTATTAATGACAGAACATTTTGATTGCCAAGGCTCAATTAATCTGAATTGACTTTGCAGCTTGATACAGCAGCCTAATAATGAGAATGCTTGGTGAATAATAACAATTTTGAGTCAAAATTATTAGTATTATTATTTTAATATGGAAAATATATTTTATTTTATAGGCCTACTCTGAATTTGTAAAGATTAAAATTAGAAATACTGTAGGAATACTTGAATTAGCATAGTTATTGCATAATTAAACTCTTTAATCTGCACATATCGGTCAATAATATCTCGGTGAAAGTACCATGCTATTTGTTCTCATACAAACTACGTGAAAATAGTATCGACAACCATAGGTCATGATTACAAATGCAACTACAAAGATACATTACATTGTTTATGTGGACCAAGGAGCTCTAAAACAGAGGTAGACAATAAAAAAGATGTATTGAATAAAATTCACATATTTCGGCGAGGACAAGATGCGAATTTTTCCGTCAAATATTTATTCTTCACGAACGCTTCAAGGTCATCCGTGTTGTCGTTGTGTATTAGCGCGCTAGAGGGCAGCAACAGCAGCCTGTCCGACATGACATTCAGCAAACGAAGAAGAAGCTGATTCCAGCAGTGTCGTTACTGGAGGCTTTATGACAACAGCGTGATAGAATGGCGAACGCGGGTGGCGGTAATGCACCTATTTGCGTTGGTGCCAGCCGCCGTTAAAAACCAAGAAGAAGAAGATGGCGAACGCGGGAAATGAAATCGTGTTTAAAAAGGTACATTTCAATACGTTTAACTGTTTACGTCTTCAAGTCTGTAACATACAGTTCATAATAAGGGATCAAGTCGAAAGTATTAGGATTATTAGCGTTTTCTTGTTACGACGCCGTTGCTCCGATTCCTGTTTTAATGGCTAACATTCATCTGTTTTTAAGGAAACTGTTGCCAAACTTTTGACACGCTCTTTTAAGGAGGATAAAACCAAAGGTGAGACGGTTATTTCTTTTAGGAAATTGTCTAACGTTACCACACTCAGGGTTCACAATATTATAGTTGCTTCACCTGTCAATGTTTGGTAAAAAGAGAGAAGTTATTGCTCAAGAAACTGTATTATGCTGTTTAAAATGTCCTATATTACAAATTATTATTATTATTATTTTTCCAGTCATATATTTTGCAGCGTAGTATTCAATTTAGTCTCTTGGTTACCTGTCATAATGTCAAAACACATCATGATCTTGTTCTTCATTTTGTGGCCAGCAGTGTGTTGCCACTGTTGATACATATCCAAACAATAAAACAAAACCATTTATATTCCCAGCTAAACGTCTGTAGATAAATGTCGCACTTACGTTAAAACACTGAGAGTTTAGAGATGTAACTGAGTTTAGTGAGTTTTCACACCTAGTTTGATTGAGCACTCCCAGTGGTCTTGAGCCTCTATAAGGTGTATTTGAACACCACAAATAATCTCAGACCCTCTAAAGACCTCTTAAAAGGAATTGATCTGAGTAGAATTTGTTTGTGGGTCCATTTTGAAGTCCCCTTACATTTGAACACCCATTGCATGGCGCATTCAAGTCATTTTGTAAAGATAGTATTTACAAGTTGAGCGCATGTGAATGGCGCTGTAAAGTCATAATTGAATTCTTTCTTTAAGCCGAGTTTCCAAGCTGGGGACGGTAAAAAAAAAAAGAATGAAATTATCAATATTTTTAATTTATCTAGGCTGCATGTACAAAATGCGATAGTATTGTACAGTTGCGATAGAATATGTAACGATTTAATTTACAGCACCTTTATAAATTGAATAAAAAACGCAAAAACACACTGATGCACAATCTTTATTCATCATTTTGTTGAAGTAAAACTTAATACGCTTTTGTAGAAAAGGTGCATCACTATCTTGCTTCAACCAAATGACTTGAACGCACCTGATGTCTTAATTACGACTTCCCAACTCGTAATTACGAACTTCCAAGGAAGACTTGAACACACCATACGGTCACTTGCAGCCGGTCGCCTTTACCTCAACTGAGTTTGGTTCATTTAAAGTGTTCTATTAAGCCACCCTTACAATATCGATGAAGGATAAAGACAGAAAGTTAATAATTCAGAAAAAAAATGGTCTGTGAGATCAGGCAGCCGGACGGCATTCAGTTATGAAGGTTTTCTTCCACAGTCAGCAGTGATGCTGTCATACTTGTAGCAGAGATGCTGAAAGTATTTGTTGAAGGTAAGGCAAACTTTACCTCTATAGGCACTGCATACTTTGTTATGGTACAATGCAGTATTATTAAGATGAATATCTGTATGCTACAGAGGCGACACGCAGAGCTGTTAAACAGGCCGACAGTGAGGACTGTGACAATATTGATATTGAGCACTTTGAAAAGATTCTGCCACAATTGGTAAGTTTTATGTTTATGCATATGCTTGAGATATTCTGTTCTTTTAAATTTGTTGTGAGTTTGATTATAGTAATACTACGGTAATAAACTATGGTCATGTTATTTGGCCCTCTGCTAAGAATTAATTCACTCAAATTGACTTGATCTAAATTGATTTTTATATAAGCAGTTTATACATGTGTATATATAAATATTTACATAATATGAAAGTTTTGAAGATTTAGAAAAATGTTACACAGTTCTGTGCTCAATTTTTGTCAGTTGTTTTCATGCTTTTAATGAATCTTAAAATATACATTTTCTGTCAGTCTGTCTCATTTCGCGTAATTTTTTGATGCGTAGCAAAACCACGATATTTTCTCACAGTGTATTGATGTCAAATTTCCTTTGCAGCTTCTTGACTTTTAATTTTGCTGAGGAGCCAGTAGATGGCGACGTAACCCAGTTCTGCTGGGCCTGAAGATCCTGGACTTCACTTTGCATATTCGCACAAGCTTCAATCTTATTTTGACAGTGTGTATATGTTAAATGTATGATTGATTTAATAATAATAATAAACAAAACTGTTAACGAGTTATTTTATTTGTGATCCAATGCTCATACATCTCTTAAACGTTCATATTGTTTCGTTTTTTAACTATGTGCCGCCAACATGTTCTGTGAAGACGGGCCGATTGGAATGCCTGCTGGGTAGCAGTGCTGTTATTGCCTCCTTGTAAAGAGGTCTTGAGTCTCACCCCGTGGCTCTGTAGGCCACCTGTGCTCTGCTCAGCGGCAGGTGCTTCCAGCATGCTTTGCTCCCCCATCAAAGCCTCTTGAAGCAGTTGGAATTGATTAAAGTAATAAGGGAGGCAGCAAAGACCCTTAGATGATGACAAGTGGCAGGAAAAAGAAGCACCCCCCTCCGGCCACTTTGAAGTCCCCCCCCCCTTTCCCTCGCTGTCCTGCAATGTGGTATAGTTGGAAGGTGTCACGAAGGTGAGAGGGCACAGGGTGGAATGTGTGTGTGTGCGGAGAGAGTGTCAGCCTGTTAAAATTATTGTGACCACACGCATAGTTGTTCAGTTTTAGTGGAAGCGTAACAAAACAAATTGGAACCAAAGAGCATGACACAGGAAGAGAGGGGTGTAATTTTGAGTGTAAATAAACAAGACGTTGAGTCGCTCAAGGGGGCTCCCTGTCTTTCATCAAGGCAGAGAGAAAGCTTTTTGCTCTGATAATTGCACTCTTGGAGTTAGTCGAACCTGCCGCCAGTGAGTTTCCAGCTGTGATGTTAAGGGGTTTGCTTGAATAGGTTTGTTATTGGATAAGCAAAGGAAAAGACAAGATCAACATGTTGGATTTTGTTAGATCCTGTAGTTAAGGGCAACAGCAAGACATATTGCTTGTAAAAAAGCTTATTTGCTTAATTCGGGGTTCCCATGTTCAGATAAAAACGGGGCTGTTTTTTTGTGGTTTACAGGTCTGGAAAATTAATTTAACCATGGGAATTTGTGTATAGTGAATATTTTTTTTTTTCTAGTAATGTTCAACTTTAAATATTTAATAGGCTAGAAATTGCTTTTAGCAAATATGTCTGTAAAATTGAGGAAATCCAGATACCATTTGAGTGAAATTCATGGGTGTCTTTGGTCAAAATGTGGGAGTCGTTCAATACATATTATTGTGCTTTTTATTGAACATAACTGCTTTATAAAATCATACATCTTTGCAGTTCGCTTCAAACTTGATAATTAAACTTCAGTATTACGTAAATGATGAATGTTTTGTGTTAGATGTATTTTTAATTTTTTTTTTATTATAATTGCCCTTATTTTATTATCAGTTTTGCTTTAATTCCAGGTTTATTCCATTGGAACAGAGTAGACGTTGACCCATTTCCTGCCTTATGAGAAGGTTCGTCAAAATGTTTCAGAAAGAGGCAGCTTTTGTCTCTGATGAAAAATGCTTGGGTTGCAAGTTGGAAATCATTAAAGGGTCCATCAGTGTATTCTTATGTCATATTTACCATTTGTAAAAAAAAAAGTCAATTTAATAGCAAAGCATCTTTGTTTAATTACGTTGGGTGGTTCTCTGTCGTTCAAGAACAGCTTTGCTTATTTATATGAGTCATTGGGAGTTATTTCAAACAACTGATTATTGCAAAAGTCTTAGTGTTAATTATGCAGAATTAAAAACAAATTTCTGATTCCGTAACAGATTTTTGTTCGGTACTGCTCATCATTTGCCGCCATTTCATGCAGTCCTGATAATGACGATTGTTTAATGCTATGAAGTCACTAAATTCATTTTAGCACTTTCTACATCTTCATGGTATACGTGTCTGTCGTGCGAATGTATTTCTAGCCTGTCCATTTTAGCTTTCTATATGATCATTGTAACTGCCTGTGCATCTTAGTGGAATAAATGACCTCTGAAGGCAGCATTATTGAACATTTGAAAGTAGTTAAGACAAGAATGGAGGGGTGGGTTGAAAAGAGTAATGAGTTAAAGCTTTTCTTGATCCTACATTAAAGACTGGGAGTGTCAACAGCCATTCCAGACGCTTTGGAGAAGCTCTGGAGTGCTGAGCTCTTTCCCTGTGAGACAGAGACTGATCCGTCTCCAATTCGGCAGTAGAGTTTGGATGGGTGTACATAAGTCAGCATTCAGGTCTGTGGTTTGTGAGTAAGGCAGTGAATTGGATACGATGTTATGAAGGCAGGAGTTACTATGGCGTGGCATTCTGACTAGTCAGGAGATCAGTGTTCAACAGTAGCTCCATGGGATTTCACCCCCCAAATTTCCTTTGTATTTGTAAATCTCATTGGAAGATTGGAAATATTTTTGCACAGTTACAACAGTTTTACAAGTGCTATGGTTATATTATTAGTAGTAGTATTATTGTTTGGCATGTTTCGTAAAGCTTGAAAGAATCGGTCTTTATTGAGTGTCATTGTTTTCTTTGATAATTTCTCTTTGTATGTTCCACAAAAGAAGTAAAGTCAACAGGTTCTGGAATGAAATGACTGAGCAAGTGATGACAATCTGTCTTTACTTAAACTCAACCTACTCAGGTCTCAGCCTGGACTCGGTCTTGACTGAGCTGGTCTCGACTATAACTTTGACTAACACTAATGAACAATATATGTAATTTGACTCCTTGCTTCTAATAAGACAGTATTATTTATACCCCTTATTTTGAAACTGGACTTAAGAAACTGGGCTGTTTGTAAAGAGCTTTAGTATTTTCTTTGTTGCTGAGTGACGCCGCACTGAAACACAGTCGCCATGAGACTGAGTTCTTTATTTCTTTTCTTTTTCAAGCTCTACATTATTAGGCAGCTTGTTTAAGTCATAAAATATATGTCAATCCGATCCAACAGTTGTCGTCTCTATATTGAACTGGACACATGAGCTGGCAAAAATTTCAAAGAGAATGTGAAAGAAGTCCGGCAGTTTAGGTTCTCCATAAAACTTGCAGCGTATACATAAGACATGGTTTGCTGTCAAATTTCCAGTGGTTGTAGAATTTGTCAATCAAATTGAAGACCATATTCATTCAGAGTGTATAGAACACTCATTATGGTCAAAGATAAGAGAATCAGTAGATGAGTTTGACTGACAGATTGGATTTGGAAAGACCTACATAAAGTTTTCCTTGGTAACACCTGGAGAGAAGCTCACTGTTTGCCTTTGTGACCTGAGCGGGGGCCACAAGCAGCCTGACCTGGCCTCTGAGGGGCCTTCCTCCAAAGACTGGCTCGGCTTCAACGGGGAGCCTCGGGCTCTGTGTTTATGCTGATAAGAACATACCTGGCAGCTTCAGACAGTAGGGCACATTGCTGGGATCACTCCTAAGTGCTTTTGGCGCTTGGCTGTTTGTCTGGGGCTGAGGTCGGACCTCTGCTGTGCTCTACCTATTGGCTGGTGCTCTTGAAGTCATGGGGGGGGGACTCCGGAAAAGACTCTTCCGGAACAAGTGAGGTGGATGATCAGGTCACCGACCTTGGCTTGCAGCTTAGGAGGGGAAAAAGTGCACAAGAGTTGAACAATTAGGCTGTAGACTGGGCTATTTCTGGAGCCGCTCTGCCCTTCCTTTGCTAGTAACCACTGTGCAAGTCCCACTAGATGCCCGAGGTGCATGCAGTAACAACAAGGTAATCCCCTTACATAACACCAGCCTGTAAGTGCCTGTCCTTCAATTAGTTCTGGGGAGGCCTCTAAAAATAAAGAGCTGCACTGACTTGAGTGACGTCAGAAGGTCAGGAGTGACTGGGGCGATGGGTAACCCAAATTAGAAGTGACTTGACTGGAGGTTAGCAGAGCACTCTATTTTTAGGTCTTTCAAAGGTTGAAAATACCACTGCAGAGGCCCTGTATGTACTTCTCCAAAGCTTAGTAGACCTAGTGCATCATAATGTCATGCGCTCCAGATCATGAAAGGGAAACGTCCTGGTGATATTTGAAAAGGAGCAACTAATGACTGAAATCTCTTTAGGAGCCTGCCGAGCGCTGGTGGTGAACACCGTGTGGAGTCACACCATAGTTAGACTTCATCGTTAGAGCTAAGGTTAGCGCAGCATTGTTTGAGAAAGTGTTGGATTGGAACTCATCACTACTTCCTGCATTCATATCATATATCAGAATTTGGTTTAATGGTGGGTTATTACAATTATGCTAAATGGGGAATTTTACAGGAAAAGTCTGTAAAGCTTCAAAAAAGACAAAAGTATCATAAAAGTGCTTCATAGGTCTTAGCTTTGTGTATTTAAAAATTTAATTTGTATTTGTATTTAAAATGTACTTGTAAACTTTAAGCCTTTATTCAGTAGCTGAGTTGTGAATTCTGGTACTGGTTCCAATTCCTCTGAATGATTTGGATTACTTATTGTTTCCATCAGTGTTCTTGTATGACTTTTTAGGCAGAAACACAGTTTTTACAGCATTCACTGCTCTCAGCAGTCTGTCAAATGAGATCATTTCAATTTCAATAGAACAGATATGTGAAAGTTGTGAAATACTTTTTAGATGAACATTTATGCATTTGGCTGATGCTTTTATCCAAATTTACTTATAATGCATTCAGGGTATATATTTTGTTCATACTATTTTTTTTGTGTGGGAATCAAAGCCATGTCCTTTCAAAACCTATAGGCACATTGGAAAAATGTGCCTGTAGTGACATTTCTGCAAAAAGGAAGTACGTTGCTTCTTGCATGTTGCGTGATGCATGCCCTTTGAGTGGTGCTAAAAGTGCAGTTATTTGTTATTTAGTTATGTCTGAAACAGATGGGCGTGAACCTGGCAACATTTAATTACTTTACATTGCTTCTTGCACGTTAGCTACACTAATCCCTACCCTAAACCTAACCGATAGTGTTAACAAAAGCAAACATGAGATAAAACCGCTTGTCATTTTAGCTTGCTTCTACATGTCTTTGAGCTCTTTTATTGTGACTTGTGTTTCATGGAACTCGTACCTGACACATTGTAAGTGATATACTGTACCATGTGTGCTACTAAGC